AAAGTTATAATTAATTAAACTTTGATTAAATAAATTTCATTAAACAGCACAGACTGTTTGGCCAGAATAAATATGTAGTTGTTAGGTAAAATTTCCTTTCTCTGAAGGTCAATTGTAAATTGCAGTAGGTTTTCAGGCCTATTTGCAGCAGCAGCAAGCTAAAAGCAAGCACTTTTTTGGTGCCTGGGAGGGCAGAGAAAGAACATTCAGCTCACAGGCTGTGCTCGGTGCCTGCACAGGGAACAAGCAAAGGCAGAGAACACTCTTTGTCACTTGGATGAAGACCCAGTTCAGACATCAAGAAGTGACCCAGATGCAGCTGCAGAAGCAAGTGACACGGAGGTAATGTGCTGCTGCAATTTACTTTTTGCTGCTGGACTTGAGTGTAAGAGCAAGGGTGATGCTGGGGAAAAAAGGAAACTCTTCAAAGAACTGAGCTCTTTCACATCTTCCCCCGTCACTGAATCCATCCCTCCAACTAGGGATGCTCACCCACTGCGGTCAGGTACTCGAATAACTACAGGCATGCTTCTCCCACTGTGGCTGGCCAAAAAACTATGCCCTATTGGCACAGTGATATGTAGAGAGCAGTCCCTGACTCTTTAACTGCTAGGCTTAACCACCACCATAACTATTCATTAAACTGCACATCCAGATAAAACCTCCAGCTTTTCCTAAAAACAACAGCTCATCAACAAAAGCCAGCATGAGCGCCTCAGGCAAACGCTTTGCTTTTGTGTGAGCTCCCTGTTGATTAAAGCAACCCAAGGCCCCTTTCTGACCATCAGGGCTCACAGAATATTTGGCCACAGCTCAAAGGGAGGTGACTTTTTTCCCTGTACGCCAAATTGTCACACCATTTACATTGCTCTCAAATCTCAAAGCTCATAAGTGACAGGCTCCCTGTGTAGATGCAGGCCCTTCAGAAGAGATGGCCCAAGACAGGGGAAGGATCTGTTGTCACTGCTGCTCGCAGGACTGTTGAATGGATGTGGCCAAGCTCTTGGATTAAACAAACTTTGCTATTACTGTATCAGTGCTGGTTTGCATGTTTACTACCTTGCCCATTTCAGACTTCACTGAGCTGAACTTAATAAACATATATTCTGAATGAATTTTTGTTATTGTTGCTTCCTCCCCCTCCCTCTGGCCATTAAGACTCATTATGTGGAGTCATCAGCTGTTTTGCTTTGTTTCCCATCTGTTCATACAGTCCTTGGGTTCTGAGATAACACTGCAGATGGGAGTGCAATTTCCACTGTTTTGATTTTGCCCCAGTGGGGCTTCATGTGGCCACTGGTGGAAAAGTTGCAATGATTTTGATTAAAGATTTTCCATATTATAGAAACTTGTCAATCTCAAAATTTTAAAGATTGTGTCAGTGTCTGGAGTCAGTGGCAGTCTTTTTCTAAGAGGATTATCAATCCTTATCCCCATCTACAATGCCTCCATTCTTTGAAATCAACAAGGACTCTTTTTTGAGAATAAATCTCGTGCAAGTTCAAGTCACAGGGAAAAACCACCCCTGCCTGTGAATAGGAAGAAGGTGGCATTCTGGTCCCAGAAATTGGAACCTAATGAGACTTTGACAGGCAAGTCTAATCTCCTGTAGCCACTTCATATTCAAATGTTCATATTAGACCTTTCACTTGTGTATCTGTTAGGCTGTCATATTGGCACGCTGTTTCAGTCCTCTGATAACTAGCAAACTAACTCTCGTTTGCAGCCAAGGTATACTTTGATCAGCTTATACCTATTTGATTCTGTGCCTGAGTTGTCCTTTTTCTCAAATACCTGTTTCTCTGTCCCCAGTTTTTATTCCCTTCAAATCCATTTCAACCTTTGCTCTGAGAGACTGAACAAAGCATTGTCTTCTACAGCTTCTTGCTGAAAAAATATGCTCTCCACTCTCCTCAGTCTCCCACAACTCTCAGGTGAACTTGTTTCAATTTGTATGCACCTGCCCTGATGACGGGAGCCAAAGCACTGCTGCCAGTCCTGAACCCAACATACAGGCATGCACCTGCTCCAGCTTCAGCGCCCCCCCCCCCACTGCTGCTTGGTGCTGTGTTTTTTCCTGGTCTGCATTTTGAGATTTATTTTAATTTTCAGGCCATGACTTCAGTTTGGTCTCAGACACGTCTTGAAAATTCCCTCTTTCTCCCCCTCTGCATTCATTTGCTAACAGAGATTAAGTGGCTACAACAGTTATTCTCTGGTTCCATTTCCTGTCACTTCTCTTCAAGATATATAAATCATATCTTGATTTCTCAGCATCTCTGCTACTAAAATTTCTGCACACTATATTTGGAGTAGGTTGTGCCCAGGGTGACAATTGTAGGGGATGGCAGCACTTCATTCCACAGGGACATTTCTCTGTGGTCAAAGTGCAAGACTCAGTTACTATAGCAGCACTGAGCTCAAAGATTAAGAATGCTTTCATACAGTACTGGTCCAGTGGCAGCTCAAGCAAGGATGCGCTTGTGTGGCTTTGCATCAAGTGGCCACAGAGTCAGGAGGGGCTGCAACTCTGCACCATGTCATGCAGCAGGACAGTGCCATAGAGGGGAAAGTAGCTCCAGACTTCTGGATAAATCCACCTCCCATAAGCACTGCCCTTCCCTGCAGCGGATTACTGGGCAGGTAAACCTGCAGTGATACCTGGGAAGTCAGAGAGAAGAGGACCCATAATTGTTTAGCAAAGCTTTTCATCCTTAAATTGTAGAAACCTAAGAAGGCTCGGTCTTTATATATTTACCCCTTTCAGAGGAATAAGTTGCTAAAGAAAAGGTCAGTGACCTTGACCTTTTTTTGGTTAAACCCAACATTTCACCAGAGAAACACAAAATTAACGTATTACCTAAAAATGTATGCTGTGAGTGGAGGAGTAGAGGAGAGATTTTCAGTGAAACTAAAAAATTGCTTTAATAAGGGGAGAAGTGATAGGACAATTGTGAGGGACTTATATTTAAGATGAAGAACAATGTTAGGAGATCACCTATGTATAGTGTAAACCTCCCTGGAGTAACCAGGAATCTCAGCCATAGCCTGAGTTTCTCATTGTCTTAGAGATCTATGAACCTAAAGAGGCAAGGAGGGGAGATATATAAAGACAGGTATTGCTGGTAGAAGTCTGGAGACCTTTTAAGATGCCTTAGATATAAATCTGGTCTAACAAATCTAATAAAGCACACAATCATGCTTTCTGAGCATAGGCTTTTACCTATGCTTAGGCCAAACCATCATTTCAGGGGAAGAAGAATCAAAGGAAATACTCAGAGAGGAAAATCTGTTGAAGCCATGAACTTTTCACCTCTAACAACAAGTAATGACCACAGGGTGCAAGATCAGATGATTGACTTAACTGCTGAGTAACAAAATTAGGCTAAAAGTTAGATCTAGTCTGCCCAGAGGCAACATGACAAATTAGATTCATCCACTCCCCATATTTGTATTAATATTCTTTTGTATTAGTGAACAGATTATAAAAGAAGGCTTTGCCTCAAGGCAGGGTTTTTTGGCACTGAACTAATTTTCAAGCCGAGGTTCTTCCCTAAGGGCATGATAAGAACCTCCCTCCTTTGCAGTCACGGATCCTCTCCTCAGCGAGGGTTTACCTGTGAGCAGTTCTTAACACTTTGGAGCTTTAAAAACCTACAAATTTCTTTCTATAAAGCTAAAATGTATACTCTTGAGATGTGTTTTAATAACAATGAAATATTTAGTCAGTATTTTTCTAAGATTATTCTGTTTCACTGTCAATATTAAAAAAAAAAATAATTAAAATCAGCTCTCTGGGACAGGCTCTGTAAACTCAACCCAGCTCCCAGTCTTGGCTGGCAGTCAGTAGTAAGAATTGCTGACAATGCAACTGACAGTGCAATGGCTGCAGTTCATAGCCCCTCAGTCTTGCGGCCCTGTGAGCCCTTGATGTCGGTCATAAGTGTTTGTGTTTCCTGCACGAGGCCTCACTTTGCAGACACAGCTGTGTGGCATCCCTCTGACCTGGGAGGGAGCTGTGAATCAAGAATGCATTTCTTTTTCCTCTGAAGATGAAAGACTTTTAAAATTAATTGCATGACATTATGGCTTGTCTGTGTTGTCAGCTTTGATTTTGCTGTGACAAAATGATGGCCGTTCCCTGTCAGAGAGAGTGATGCCGTGCCTGTTAGCACTGCACTCATCAAGTGGCAGCAGCGAGGAAAGCATCACTGCGATCTCCATGGAAAGCAGTTTCACGGAGTGGGATGCCAAGGGTGAGCCGAGCGCAGATGTTACACTCACACAGGGGAGCAGACCTGGCCACCACTCACTGCAGCTGGTGTTGGCTAAGCCATACCACCCACAACCTTGTGCCAGGTATCCAACTTCCTGACTGCATCCCCGGAATCAGTCCAAACTGCTGAGGGTGATACTCTCCAGAGGTATTATTTTGAGCATTCAGAGCTAAATGCACAATCACTAGAACTAAAATCAGAGCTCTTAAAAGAACAGCTCTGCAGCTGCCTTTGCAGGGCTTGATGAAGCCAGCGGGAGCAGAAGCAGAGGGAGAAAACCAACCCCTTTTCCCTTTAGAGGGCAGTGTTCATCGTACAACAGCCACATTTCTAAGGAGGTAAATCCCTTATAGATAACAACTGGGTCAGCAGCAGCAAAGCAGAGGCAAGTAATAGGGACCAGCACTGAAGCAGTGCTGCTGGTTGCACTGCACCGTACAGAACAGCATCTCACTCTGATATACTTTCTGTAATGCTCTGTGCAGAGGCTCATTAATTTCCCCTCATTTTCATGCACAGTAATCAGACAAGTAATTACGGTTCCACTGAGAGGCTTCCTTTCTCCCACCACACCATGAGCACAGTCCAGGGTGAAGGGCTCCTTACCATCAACATTTGCCAAATTACAGCTTCTCTTTGAGCCAGATGAGCCCTTCCTGTGAGATTTATGCCAAACCTGCTCAGAGAGCCAAATAAGAGATGATTTCAAAGGCAGTACTGTACCTTTTCATGGGTTTGGGTGAGGCCTCCCGCTCCAGGTTGGAGGACGCGTGCTTCACGTGCATGGCATTGTAGGAGGTGTGGGTGTACTCGTTTTCGTCGCTGTAGTCGGGACCAAGTAACGTTCGAGCCCATGTGCCCATGTCGTAGGGAGGAAGAGTCCCCCCGAATTCAGAGGGCAGGCATTCAGGATGTATTAGCTGGTGAAGACTGTTCAGGTTGTTACCATGAAGAAAGATCTTTAACAAATAAAAGAAAGTTCAAAGTCATCATCGATTCCTTACTTCATTAAGCACAATAATAGCAGCACTAATGAGGTGTGGAGTGTCATTAGTTGACAGCGCAGTTTCAGGTGGGAATTTCTAAAGCCCTCGGGGTTGGCTCAGTGGATGAGGAGGTGGGTATTAGCTTTGGGGTGGGCAGCTGAAGAGTTAGCCTGGCACTATAAACACTTCTGAAAACTCCTATTGCCTTGCTTTTAGCCCATGACACTTTCAATTTCTTAAGTGCCAGATCAGGAGAAGTGGAAGTCAGGAGTTATGATTGATTATCGCTACTGTAAGAGATTAGAGAAGTGAGAAGAAAAGGGTGACAGCAGAGCTTACTGAAAGTAGATGTGAAGAGTAGGTCTTCAGCATCTGAGAGGGCAACCAGCTCTGCGCTCCAGGACTGACATTTCCCAGGGGTGTACCAGGCTGTGTTACCACTTTGCACTGCTTCAGCACCATCTGTCTCTCTAATCCCTCTTTGCTTTCAGGCTGGTTCTACCCTTGTCCTGCCTAGTCAGACATAACTCAGGGTGGGCTCTGGGGCCTCCTGAGGGATGATCCGGTCATTGGCTGATAGACTGCAGAGAACAAATGGCTAAAATGACTGCCAGACCACAATTCACATGGGTTTCAGTGGAGAAGATCTGCCTCTTCTGCAGTATCAGAAAACAGCCTTCAGCCACGTGCATTTTTGTGTGGAAACGTGAGTTACTACCATGTGAAAACAGTCAAGTTCCTGAAGGAATGAAATAGGAATTTTTACTCCAACAAAAAGAGTTGAGCTGAAGTTACTTCACTTGCAAGTAACTTCAGCCAGGCCTGATAATCCCTCCACACTGATGATTCTCTTCTATCCCTGGGCATGTCCCAGTAAAATGTATACACACTTTGTTAGTGACAATGGGTTTCTGGTCCCTAGCAGAGTTATTGATTTATTTCAGACCATTGAAAACCCTAAGGTTTAAAAACAGCAGCAATTCTGAGGCCATATGCAAAATGCAGAGAGAAAAAGAAGAGAGCAGGCAGCTACTCGGTTACTCCAGGTCTGCAGCTTCCTATCCACCCTCCATCACCCGACCCTCATCTAATTACCCTTTTCCTTGTCTTGTCTTTGAGAAACGGTTTGATTAGCGTGTACAGGGCATGGATGTACCAGGGCTGATTGACAAAATGGACTCCTCCAAAACGTGCAGGAAAGCTGTCCTATAGAAAGAAAGAAAGGCAGTTAAGAGTCGCAGTGCTTTAGTCCGGCAGTCAATAGGATGAAAGTCAGAGGAAGAATCTGCCTCTTTCCATCTGCAAATGAGCACTGGGCTCGCTGGGAAGGGGCAGAAGAAAAATAGAAAGAAAAAAACCCAACAAAACCAAAAACAGACGCCTGGAAACGTTTGTATCAGTTTCCTCTGTTGGCAGAGGCAGTCTCTTCGCCCCTCCACACGCTGATGCATCAGTTGCCGATGAGATGCCTGTGATTTAGAGTCGAGTCTCCAGCCACTTAGCATGAACATTTTTTAACTCCATCAGGGCATCTGACTGGGCTGGCCTGGGAAGTGAGAGGGGGTTGATAAGCACCGCTCCCTCGAGGGGAAGCTTTCTAATTTCTCATTGTGCAGCGCAAGGCAAGCCCCCAGTTCCCACGCACATCGCTGCTCAGCACTCACCTTTTCACCCTTCGGCCTCCCTGCCTCCCCCTGCTAAAATCATCATTACAATGGCTGACCTTTCGGGGTGAGCAAGCAGCTTATTACAGGGAGGAGGATGGGTGGGAAATGCTGATGAGTGAAGGTGTAGGGAGAGCGCACCATGACAGCACCATGGAAACTGCTGGAGCCGCGATCGCTCTCGCTGCCAGGCTGAGCTCAAACACCCTCGGCATTAGTATGCAGGTAACGTCCTGCTGGCGAGGTGTTAGCTATAGCATCCTACCCCTGCTCCGTCAGCCTGGCACGCTTCATAGGAGGTTGCTGGCGTGTCTTTAAAGGTTATTGTATATTGTGAAGGGTATTTTGTACCTATGACCTTATCTAACAAATGTCAGTCAGGGAAGACCCTAGAATTTTTTTGCATTGCATAAATAATGGGACAACTGCTGCTCCTGTGTGCAAATATACTTCCAGGGAGAGGAGAGAGGCCGTCTCTCCACTGTGAAAGGAGATTCTGATGAAGCCGTCCTCATCCTGTGTGTGCTCCTAACCCCTACAGCTCAGCATGTAAAGCAGAGCATAATCAGGTCTCTTCCTTCAGGGCTTTGGGTCTGGGATGCAGATAGGTTCCTTCCCCCCACAATTAGCACAGAGTGTCCTGGGGTTTTCTCTCGCTTTCCTCTGGAGCATCAGAGATTGAGCACAGCTGGTGAGAATACAGGGTGGATTTGTGAGATGATATGAAAAATCCTCTTATACACCTGCTTGGTAGAGCTTCTGCGCTGCTTCAAGGTCAGTTTTTTCCCCAGGTTAACATTATGTATGCGTCCACCACCTCCTGTCATGCAGTGCAAATCAGCAGGACTCTCCATGCTTTTTAGCACTGACTATGGATTGCCGTGGCAGTCATCCTAAAGGATACTCAGGTAATGTTTGTGAGCAGCCACAGGCATTAAGTGATACCTTTTTCTTTTGCTATACAGTATTTTGCTATACAGCTGCTTCCAACTCAGGTCAGTTGACCTGAAATCATTACAAGTCTCAATATTAGATGCTCTGTGAAAGACTATTGGGTAATCAGGCCATCCTGAAGGAGGACAAGCAGTGCAACATCACAAGTGATACCATTTTAAATTCTAGTAAACTATGAATTGAGCTTTTAAGACTCCACCTTGTCTGGGGTCCTCACATAAGAATGGTGTGAACCTGTTAGAGCGAGTCCAGAAAAGAACCACAAAGATGATCAGAGGATCAGAGCACCTCTCCTACAAAGACAGGCTGAGAGAACTGGGTAAAGAGGGGTTGAGATGACAGGTTTAGAGTAGACGTTAGGAAGAAATTCCTCCCTCAGAGGGTAGTGAAGCACTGGAACAGGTTGCTCAGAGAAATTGTGGATGCCCCATCCCTGAAAGTGTTCAAGGTCAGGTTTGATAGGGTCCTGAGCAACCTGATCTAGTGAATGGCATCCCTGCCCATGACCAGGAGGATTGGAAGTAGATGACCTTTAAGGTTGTTTCCAACCCAAGCCTTTCTATGATTCTATTTTATGATTCTATGATTCTTTTTAAGGATGTTCTGTTGAGGTGTTCATTTGTAATAAAGATGACTGTATTTCCACTGCTATTGGAATATTCATTAGAATTTAGGAATGCATCTCTGACTGAGATAAATTACTGCAGTGCTGCAAGTTGTAGTGACTTCAACTGGGCTGAGCCAAGAAACAGCTGCAGAGAGTCCGAGCCCACCTAGAAAAAAACATGGCCTGACAGAAATATGAAGTGAAGTCCAAAGTGATTTTCTACCGTGCGATAACCTAAAATTGTGTTTTAGAGCAGACCAGAGCCATAAAATGGCCATCTCATGTAAAATTCACATATTCAGGTGCCTTTCTCGCACATGGGAATGAAAATTTTAAGATTTGAAACTTTTCACAGATTATTCTAAAAAAATCTTAAGACAAACTGGAATGTTCCCTGTTTACCTTTGTTTATTTATTTATTTCACAGAAGCACATAATCACAGAATATGTTGAGTTGGAAGGGACCCACAAAGATCATTGAGTCCAACTGGATCCCCACAAATCTATAGGGCCTGATAGGATTCATCCCAGAATCCTCTGAGAGCTGGCTGATGTCATTGCAAACCTCTCTCAATGGTTTTTGAGCAGTCTTGGGAATCCAGAAAGGTCCCAGTTGACTGGAAGCTGGTGAACGTTCTCCTACTTTTCAAGAAGGGCAAGAGGGAGGACCCCAGAAACTACAGGCCTGTCAGTCTCACTTCAATGCCTGGGAAAGTTATGAAGAAGGTTATTCTGGGAAGTACTGAAAAACATCTGAAAAGACAATGCAGTAATTGGTCAGCATGATTTCATGAGAGGAAAGTCCTGCTTGTCAAACTTGATTTCCTTTTATGAAAAGGTAATCCGCCTAGTTGATCAAGGGAAGCCAGCTGATGTAATATTTTTGGATTTCAGTAAAGCTGTTAATACTGTCCCTCACAGGATCCTTCTGGACAAAATGTCCAGCACACAACTGGATAAACACATCATGCAGTGGGTGAGCAATTGCCTCACAGGTCAAGCACAGGGGGTAATAGTGAATGGGGTAACATCAGACTGTCGCTAGTGGGGTCCTGCAGGGCTCCATCTTAGGCCCTTGTGCTCTTCAACACCTTCATAAAGGACTTGGACAGAGGACTGGAAGGGACACTAAACAAATTTGCAAATGATACAAAACTTGGAGAAGCTGTTGACTCCCTCAAAGGCAGAGAGGCCCTGCAGAGAGACCTTGACAAATTAGAGGTCTGGGCAATCATCAACCATACGAAGTTCAACAAGGGAAAGTGCCGGACTATGGCCCTGGGATGGGGCAACCCCGGAGGTATGTACAGACTGGGGAATAAGATGTTGGAAAGGGACCTGGGTGTCCTGGTTGATGGCAAGTTGAATATGAGTCAGCAGTGCCCTGGCAGCCAGGAGGGTCAACTGTGTCCTGGGGGGCATCAGGCAAAGCATCACCAGCCGGTCGAGGGAGGGGATTGTCCTGCTCTGCTCTGTACGGGTGGGGCCTCACCCTGGATATTGTGTGCAGTTTTGAGTGGCATCATATAAAAAGACAATAAACTATTAGAGAGTGTCCAAAGGAGGGCAACAAAGATGGTGAAGGGCCTTGGGTGGAATCCATATGAGGAGTGGCTGAGGTGACTTGGTTTGTTCAGCCTGGAGGAGACTGAGGGGAGACCTCATTGCGGTCTACAACTTCCTCGTGAGGGGAAAAAGAGGCACAGACACCAATCTCTTCTATTTATTTCTCTATTTATTTATTTGTTTCTTATTAATTCTGTGTCTGTCAAGCTGGCTGCCGTCTCACAAGTTGTATCTCTAAGGAAGAAGTTCTGCACACCTTTGCTCTTTGGGAGTAAATTGCCATAGCTGTTCCCAGGCTGAACTGTAGCAGCACAGGTCAGTGTAGAAGACACAGTCTGAGTCTGAAGCACGAAACAGTAAATGAGAGATGGGAAGCAAGCGAATAATTTTAAGACACAGAAATTTATACGGACCCGAAAAAGAAAATTGTTTTGCCTTCTCGCTGGAATGCACAAATTATATTAATCCCAACCTTCAGTGAGAAATGTCATTTGGACTTCATTTCCAAGGGAGAATGTGGGTTTTTTTGAACATGTTGACCAGCCTTAACAATACCATGTTACCCAGAAAGGTCTAAATACTGAGAACTACAGGAACCAGCCAGAGGTTTAAACTGGCAGCCTGTCTTTGGAAAAGGTCGACTATGGAGCAGGATGTATTTTCCTATATAGAAAATTAATTTTATGTCCACCCAATACAGATTGTTGAGTCTATTAACTAGATTCTGTCTGATACATTTGTAGATTAAGTATTACAGGAAAGCCTGTCATATAACAATTTTATTTAAAAGCAATTGCTTTCTTTTCGTTCTGAAGGTACATCCACAAATGCACGAAGACCCTTGAAAAGGAAACATGATGATCAGGAAAAATAACAAACACCAAGGAACATTTCTTTCTGTGTGTAAATTTCTGCTAAATTTTTTTCCTTGCCCTATTAAGCACAATAAGCTCAATTTGACCTTCATCCCTCAGTCCACCTGCATTTGTAAGGCTGTCAATTAGAGTAAGGACAAAGACAATTTTTTTTTTTTTTTTAAAGCAAAGAAATTTGATGTGGGAATCATCCAGACACTATCTGGAACTGCAACATACTAATTTTACACGAGTCCCTAATTAGAGCAGAGCTGTCTTGGAAAGAAAAACTCCTGTCTGGAGGTCTGCCTTGTGCAGCTCCAGGAAGATGTATGAGACATTTCCCACACCCCACTCAGTGTCTCTGATGCTTTCCCTGGGGCAAGGTGAAAGTAGCTGAAATTGATTTTCTGCTGGAGAGCTTTTGCTTTTAGGAATTCTCTTTTGATTTCTCATGACTTGTGATTCCTTGGGAAGGTGTATTTTATAATGAGGTACATTTTTTGGAGTCAGCTGTGAAATGGACCATGGGATCATGGAGCCTTTTCTTGACCTGATTCC